GCGAATGCTCATGTGAGCGAGCACAGTTTGGTGTCTCGGCTGGAACAGGAAGACTGATGAGTCCAAATATGATGTATGCCCTGTCCTCCTGCTCCCTCTCGATCACCAGGCATCCACAGCATGGGTAATGATGATGAGGGCAGCCCGGACAGGAGCGTATTACTTCACGATGGTAAAAGATAATGGACCAGCCTCCTACTGTGTAGAGGAATCTGCTCAGGCATCCAATTACTGCCTTTAAGATCCATCCAAACATGACCCAAAAAAACTTTCACAATTTAAGTGAGATGGAGGATGCCAACACAAGGAGGCGGAGGGTGACAAGGGAGGCAATTAATCTAAATTGGTAATATATTAATGTATGTTTGTCTGGAGCAAGGAAAAGATCTAAAAAAAAGCAGGTGAGGAGAAGACCATACACACAAGCGGTATTACGGTCGACACAAAGAGTTCTAAGGCACTAAACTGACTAAAACTTTTGAGTACTCTTTTCATTTTCTGCTTTTGAAATAATTGCTACATTTGCAGAACTCCTGCTTCACAGTATGAAATTGGTGACAAAGTGGTGAGCACCGCTCTGAGCCCTACCAATGCAGGTGAATCTGTGACAACACACAGGAGGAGCCCTCTTCAAAGGGAACGGAAAAAAAGAGGGCTCATCTTTAAAAATGATGTTGCTGCTTTCCCAGAGGTGTCACCCGTGGCAGAGCCCATCTCTTGGCTGGGAAAATGCAATAAAAAGACCTTTTTATAATAATCAATTCCAGCAAGGGCGCAGTAATTTAGAACACGCCATAAAAGGGATGAGAACGGGTCTGAGGAGCCATTGAGGTAATAGGACATAAATGTGATCAAACCCAAAATAAGCTTCCCATTACTAATATTCATTAGCTTTATTACATTACAACCTTTAGAGACATGGTCAGTTATGGATCCTGATTCAGTTTATGAGATTATTTCTGATCAAAACACAATTACAGGAGCTCTTCCATTACTACAAAATACAGTCAAGCTTATTACACTAATTAGAACTAATTACAGATGAAAGGACCTTCTAGAGCAAAACCACAGAGCGGTTGTGTCAACAGATGCCTTCAGCATGCTCTGTGAAGTTTCCCCTCTCAACTTGATTAAAAAAGATTGGAGAATTTCCCTGTGTGTTTCCCCTCTCCCCTATCTCTAAAAACAGCCCCGTTTCCTGTGCTTCTTCCTCCCATCTGTTCTTCTTTCTTTCATCTGTAACCTTGATTTACTGTCTACATCACTGATCACAATAATGACTGCAAAAAATACAATAACCATAACAATGACACTAAAAAGACTACATTAAGAAGGGCTTTTAGTTCATCTCTATTTGCTGTTATAAGACTGTAGCTAACTACAAAGGCAGCTAGACAATTATTTTTCTTTCGAAAGCTCACTTAATATAGTAATATTTTCATTAACACTCACTTGCTGTTATATAATATTGCCAATACTGTTGATCCCACTGAGGATCAACCCAACAGTCTGCAGCCCAGCCCAGCCAGCTTTCGGCCATGTTTAACTCATTACTTTGGTTCTCAGAGACCCAGATTTTATTCTCAGGAGTTAGGGGTTGAAACAAGAGACCTTGCACCACTGGGGGTTTGTCAGTGTTGCTGCTCTCTTTCTGCTGGGTGAGTAAGTAATGTTGGTTATAAGGTTGCCAAAAGGGATAAATCAATGTATTACAAATCAGTTGCTGAATACTGCCTAACCCCAGTCTTTGAAATTTCTATGAAACCTCTATGAAAACCTGTACCAAGGGTGTAATTTCCACGGGGAGTCAGAAGGAGGGACATCACAAAGCAGGTTTCTCATAGTTTAAGTTTTGAAACATAAAAGCCTGCAACACTTGTATTTAAGGCCCATATATAAAGATGGATTTCCTTACGTAAGCCTTCCTCAGTGTGGAAAAATGGTCAGTCAACATGTACTCTTTTCCCCCCCTGCTGTACATCTGGAGAACACTAGATGATGATTACAGACAGCAGCAGAAATTGTAAAAACATGATGTTGGATCTGTACTGTTGTGGGCAGACATCTTGGAGTTATTAGGTCTAACCACTTCTTTGCGTAGTTCCCTTATGCCATTCCCATATTGCGTGATTGGAGTAACCCCTTAAAGTAATTCAACATTTATTTAATTAAAACTTTGATAAAGTCATTACATCCTACCAACAATGAAGCTCATTGTAACTGGGCGTCATATATTCTCTGAGCCCACCTTTCATGTATCAAGTCTCTGCTACATTGCTATCTTCACTATTGTATTACAGTTCAGTTCTGAGCTCAGAAACCAGTTTTCTATTGAAATCACTGAGATTGTTTTCCCTTTGGTGGAGGCAATGTGGTGATGTGTGTGCGTGTGAGTGTGTGTGTGTGTAAGCAGGTTGACGGCACTGTTCTTACAATACCTTACTTCCTCTTTTCTACTAGCGAGGAGTGTAGCAGGGGGAAGGGAGAGGAACCTATCTGTGGGCCTTTCATGCCACAGTGATCCCAAGTAATCTAATTCAGCCTTCCTCTTTCTCGCTTGTGTGCTTCTCTCATATTGGTGCATGCAGATTGCAAAAGCCCTATGTGCGTGTGTGTGTGTGTATGTATAAGAGTGAGGGAGAGAGGGGATAGAAAAAGGGGACAGAGGGAGACAGACAGAGTTAATGAGTTCTGACTGTGTCTGCATGCATAAGTATTTGTGTTGTGTGTTAAGTACCATGGGGTGGTTGGAGAAGCTGTGCACCTTGGGAAGTTGTCTGTGTGGGAGAAGCACGTGGAAGGAAATGAAGTAGAAAAGTGCAGAAAAAGTGAGCAGCCTTGTGGTAAAGCAAAATAAAATGTAATACTATTGTTGTAATCAACCTCTTTTCAATGAACGTCAGATGATGAATATGTTTGACATGTTAGTATCAAAGTTATATGCTGATACGTGGACCTGTTCCTTTTCAATACCAGTGTGTATCCACACACTCTGTGACATGACTGCAGCTGCCTCACTACACACACACACACACACACACACGCACACACACACACAGAGTATATCATGTTTTAGTACACATGGAACACTATTCAGCTTTATCTCCTGAGAGGCTCCCGCTTAAATTATCCTGTCCCTAATTGATTTAGCCAAGTTTAGCAAATAATTGTAATATCAGGTTAATTGAGATGGATTTTTGCCATTGTGAAAAAAAAGTTAAATGATTTATAGTGAGCCATAAAAGCCTATGTAAAATGAGCAGAACGATCAGAGTGAAAAAGCTGACAGTTTTAGAATTGCTTGATGAGTGCATCAAATAAAATGTTTTTCATTGAGCAGACAATAGCACATGATTTTTATCTCTGCAAATTTTGTCAGTGGAAGGTGTGTGAGCAAACTATATATTCCTGTAGAGCAAGGCAAGCAGGCTGTTGATACACCAGTGACATGAAAAGGATGTGAGAGGAAAGGAACTCGAACAATACTGCAGCATTAAACACAGAGCTTCAATTATCCTGAGAATGGAATGAGGATGCACCACTTTCCTTTGACTCCAGGAACTGCCACCCACACGCATCTATCATCTACACAGCCACGGGCAATACTTAGAGAATAACATTGACACAACAGTCAGGTATGTGTCATGCAGATCAAAAGCACAGCAGAAGAAGTAGAAATTAATGCAATTTTTAGTTTTTAGTAATCATCACTGACTTTACTGTACATATATTCCTCATTAGTCAAAACTAATGATGTCGCTCATTTTTTCACCTGAATGGTCTTGATTTAAATCAGAGGCAGGGTTCTCAGCATTGCTGAACAAAGCTGCATAGACGTGTGAAAGGCTCTCTGTGTGAAGTTCTATAGGGGGAGCTTTGGTTAATCGACCCAACAGAGTACCTGTGCCTTGCTGAGGGAGACACACAGCTACAGGCTTACCCTCAGGCCAGACGGTTGCCTAGACCCCATCTGAGGCCTGCTGGGAGCTACAGATGCTCTCTTCCTGCCCCACTCCTAAACATACACTGAGGGCACAGACTTACATTACAGGTCTGCCTCCTTTATCAAAGCAGCTGTGGTGGATAAAAGTATCCAGATCCTTTGAGAGTGTTATTGTGAACATATTACATGACTGGAGTTTTATTAGTGATGCATTAGCCTGTATGCAGTGTGTTGTTTTGTAAATGGTCATGGTAGAACTAATTTTAATTATTTTATATACTGTTGAGTGCTGTAGGAGCTATTTATAATTATTTTTGAGTGTTTTATTTATTTTGGATATTTTCTTTGACTTGATAGCATGTAGCATTTGTTTGTAAAAACTGTGGAGCAGCCCTAACACATCAGGTTTATATAGACATATTTTATATGTGAAATCTTAAGTAGTAATTAGTAACAATTGCTGATTAATGTAATGCAGTGTAAATTACAATACCTCTCTCTGAAATGGAGTGGAGTAGGAGTATAAAGTAGCAGAAAATGAAAAGACTCATGTAAAGTACAATTACCTCAGAATTATACAATACTTGATTAAATGTACTTAGTTCCATCATTGCTAAGCAGCAAGTGATACACTGAACATGTGGCATTGTTTGAGGCCATGTAAGTATTTTACCAGTATTAATGCACTGCTATCAATAGCATTTCAATGTCAGGGAACATCTCAACATTTACGCCACAAGATATGAAATATTCTCCTTGCTATTCAAATGTTTAGAATAGTTTTTTGTCATTACATACTTCATTGAAAATCTATACAAAATATCTGACCAGATTATTAATACATTCATCTCCTTCAGGCTTTCACCACTCATGGTTAAAAGTGCAGAAATTCTCAGACATGCTGCAAAGAATACATGAAAATGTTAATTGAAAGATTGAGAGTGTAAAATTTAAGACTAAAGTTTTTATTATCAGTGCGTAGTATTTCACATTTAGAGTGATCAGTGTGCCGCCATCTACTTAGGGGTGGCACTGAACTGGAAGAGGCATCACTCACCATGGCCAGAGGCACGATGCCCGCCAGGTCTTCCTGCGCCAGTGGGATCTCCGTTTCAGCCTCTTGTGTGGCGGCACGACTAGCTGGGTACTCCACCTGCCAGGCCATCCAGCGGCTGCCCAGTGGCTCTGGAAAGCTTTCCATTTTCAGATCCACCTGGAGCACCCTCTGAACTCCCATCTCAGACCTGCCAGAGTACAGAGAAAAGAGAGTTTCAGTGAATGGTTAAGCAGATGGCTGGGAGAGACTGAACATGTGTGTGTGTCTGTGTGTGTGTGTGTGTGTGTGTGTGTGGTTGTGTGTTGGTGAGGTCATTCAACCTACTACCTGCTCTAATGATGACAAACGGTAAAGGCTGATGAATGTGTCTGTGGCTGAAATCTATGACATTTTACCAACTGAGATGCTTCAAAATGCCAAGTCCCTTTGTGTTTGACTCTCTGGCCAAGCCTCTGTTTCCAAGAATAATATTGCCCCTTTCTTCTTTCCCCTCACACGTTTCCACAGGTGACGTGCGCTGTAAATAGAACCTATAATCTCGTGGCTGCTCCTCAGAGCTGTTCAAAGGAATGCTTCACTAGGAGTCTCCCCTGCTAAGGCGTTAATGGTCAGGTTTGCCACCAGTGCCCTTGTTTGCCATTGCAGAGTGTAAATATACGGTATGTTTTGGCACAATCTACGATAGGCCTGAATTAAGTCAGACAAATGGAGAGCGTTGATAATAAAATTTCCCATGGCACCATAAGTCTCTGGTGCTCAGAGTTTAAATATAGCCTGAAGGCAGGAAAGGTCAGCTTTACACGGGAGCCGGAGGAGATGGGAAATGGCACAAGATCTGTTAGCCACGTCTTGCGTGTCAAATGGCGAGACTTGGGGCCAATAAATTTCATGCATGGTCTCTGTGGCACACCGGCCCAAAACAGCATCTTGTTATTCGAGCATGGTGAGGAGGAGAGAGAAAGAGATAAATATATCCACATGGTACTTGGAGGGCCCATGTAACATATAGAAAATGAGGTGAACCATGAGGCAGAAAAACGTTGCCATAAAGAGAGATACGACATACTGTATGGTACATCTTGGAAAGACAACTGAACAAATATAACATCCTAAATTATGAATCAGGGACTTAAAACAGTAAAACGATAAATAATAGAAAATGTTTTATCCGCTGTTTTATTCACATAGGTCTGACACTATTTCCACATCATTCTCAAATTATTCAGTTTTGTTCTGAGAGAATGAAATATTTGTTACGCAGCAGAGCACAACCTAATTTTCTTATCCAACAGAGGTGTGTATAAATAATTAAGATGACAACCAAATAACTTGTGTCACATTTCATAACAGTGCTCCAACCCAACAGTACAGAGCCACTGAAGGTGTAGTATGACATTGTGAACTTACATAAATACCGTGGAAAACAGACAGATACTAATCTCTGCTCGCAGACCGGTAAAGCCACGAGGCTTATAAGGCAAACAAAGTTAACACATGATGCACTGAACGTCCAGAAATAAACCTTTGAGCGTCACACAGGACCTGTGTCAGACATCAGCCCAAATGGCCTACTTTCTACAGCAGAGACAGTCTTCTGCTGTAGAAAGGTTGCTCTGGCAAACATCACAGACTTTAGGCTGGCAATGAGACAGACAGGCAAAAGAATGAAAGTGACTGTGCAGCAGAAAGAATTGTTATACTGTTCATACACTACCAAGTACAGTAACTAAACTCCCACCTTCACAAAGTTAAAGGGCCTCAAGAAAAGACAGAAATGTTCTTAGCTTTTCCCCCTTCAGAGATGTCAGTTACTTCCCTTCTTGCATGATCCAGTTTATGAATTTTATGAGTTTTTTTTGTTTTTTTTACATTTCTTCCTACAATAAAAATGGAAAAAGAATATTGAGGTTATAAGAATGTGCAGTGCAGAGTACAAATAGTCCTGCTTCATTTTTATGAAGGCAGACATGCTTTTAATTTTGTGTTTTTGTGACAGAAATATCCTCCTTCAAAAGATCAGAAAAGAAGACAGCAATATAAAAATCTGGACGAAGAGAAGAAATTGAATTCTGGTGTGGTGCAAAGTTGAAATTAATGACAATAGTGAAGATTTGCAAAGGCTTACACTTAGACTCAGGCCAATATTTGACTTCCATTGATGACATTCTTGCAAGAAAACAAATGGAAACTATGGCAGCGTATGGAGAATGAGTGCAGGTGTGTGTCGTCAAAGTGCCCCATGCACAAAGCTGTGACTATAATAAATATGTAATAAATGTTCATAGTGAAAATGGTCTATTTATAGCACTTTTTATGATGACTCTTAAAAACCAAAGCTGCTGCTGGTTGTATATCTAGCCAGCCAATAAGTTCTAAAGACTCAAAAGAAGGAACAATAAACAGACATTTTGGGCTCTTTACCTCGCATAGAAAGCCTGGTCTGTTTTCGATTGTCTGCTGTACTTGACCCTCATTGACACAAGACTTAAAATGAAACCTGACAGAAACATAGGTGTCAGGGTGAATGTGACTCAGACATTAAGTCACAGACCTCAACCATATACCAGCATGCCATCCTTTGCCAACCTCCCATCTCCCAGTCTACTAATCACACGCCTCGCTGGGGGAAACTGTTCATTTCTCTGTCACTTCCAGCATGGGGTCTAATTCTATTAGCAACAAAGGGCCTGTGGATGCGTGCCACACAGCTGGCCTCAGTCTGATAATTATCTGTAAACTAGCTGTGGTTTGACTAAATCTGAGGCCAGGCAGACGACCGGAGGGCAGCCAAAGGCAATAGAGAGGGGCTCTGTAGGTAACAGGCCCTAAAGTTGGAAGCAGCTGGCCTTCTGGCTTTAGGGACAGGACTGGAGAGGAAATCAGACTTGACAAGGTGCTGCCCGAGACGGCTGACAACTGACTCACAGAGAATAGCAGGGAGATGGCTGAGAGGATGCTGTTTAGGCACATTTGCGATGCCCATTAATCACAATGACACCAGCAGATCTGTAGGACAAACAGTGACACACAATGAAACATAAGTGAATAGCTTAGCGCCATAACGTAGATGCTATATATAACATTTTCATACATCAAAATGACAATGTGATGCCAATCGTTGAAATAAATAACAGAGGTGGCCATTGACAGAAGCATCTCACACCACTGGTATTGTTAGCACTTTAGTTTAAACATTACCATAAACTCTGTTTGAATGTTGCACTTGTGGAAAAAAACAGATGATTTCCTAACAAATTCACACAATGCAATATACAAATCTGTGTGTGAATATTCAGTCAATATTCTCACTGATAACTTTCTTTGTTAGTTTGTTGGCTATACTCACAATCTTTGAAATATATCAGACTGTGCTGTGGGGGAATAGAGTTCTTCACTTTCTTGCTGAGTGTTAGATGAGAAGACTGATACAACTCTCGTCTTGGTTAATAAAACGCTACAGCCAGAAGCTGGTTAGCTTACCTTGGCATAAAGAGAGTAACCATGGTGTAACAAGTAGTAAAAGCTTTAAAACAATAGTTCCACATTTTGGGAAATACATGTATTTGCTATATTGCAGAGTTAGATGAGAAGAGTGGTACTACTCGCATATCTATCCAGTAAATATAAGTGAGGTCGGTACAGTTTGATACAATGACTGGAAACAGCTGGCTTGGTTTTTGCACAGATAAAACTAACAAGAAATAATATGTTAATCGGTGAGCTTTAGAGGTACTGGTATATGGTTTGTTACCTTTGGACAAAGCCAGTCGAGCTGTCCCCCCCAGTCCATTAAGCTAAGGTAACCATATGTTGGCAGCAGCTTTATATTTACCCGAAAGATACAAGAGTACTATCATCTTATCTAACTCTTGGCAAGAAAGCAAATACTCTTATTTCCGCTTTAACGTTTGATATATAAAATGTAAGGAAATACTGAAGAATGCCTGACACAAATTACGAAAGCCCAAAGTAATTGCTTGATTTTGCATCCAATATCTTAAGATATTCGGTTTACTACTGTTTGATATATGACAAAGAAAACAGCAAACCCCCTGATAATTGACAAGCTGGAATAGAGATTGTTTGGCATTTCTGCTTGAAAAATGCCTCAAACAATTAATTGTAATTGCTGATTAATTTTCTGTCCATCGATCATCATCTATAACAGGCATTAGCAGGTAGCTTTCAGGTTTACACAAATCGTTTAACTTCTCAACATCTTCCCCATGTTTCAAAATGTGTTCTCAACAAAACTAAACTTCTATTGTTCAGCTTCTGTCTTCACTAATTACACAGTCTAAAAAGCTCTTTTCAGAGGTGATTCAGCTCCATCTTATCTTGATGGAGCATGTTGGAGAGCTATTGAATTTAGACTGCAAGAAGGTTAAAGAAAGATAGATTTAAATGTCAAAATGAATAAACAAACAAAGTTACTGGTGAAATTTCCTTTTAAGCAGATTTCTCTAAAGAAAGAGCTATAATTGAAAAGGCTTCTGTTGTCCCATTATCAAACTCACTGTGTCATTGTGACACTCTTTGTTTAATCTCCCCCTGATGTGATAGGATCCCTGTATCTGCTGCCTCACCCAATGCGGATTAGAATAAGAGAGAGATAGGCAGAGAGCCTTTGTGGGATAAACGAAGTGACATTTTCAGGTCCAATTTCTTCATCTTTCAACTTTTTCCTAGATATCCTTTGGTATTATTGTAGCATCGGAACAACAGAATGATATGGTCATAAGTGTGGAAAAATACTTGAAGCCCTTTTTTGTATGTTTTATGTATAAGGTACATAGAGTAAGATGTAGATGTAGTACACACAACAAAGGGCCTTAACAAACCTCAACAGAGCAGCACGTTGCTGATTCATGCTGCTGATTCACTGTAACAAGAGATGTTGAATGGAAACAGAATGGCAGATGAAGATGCATAATGCAGGCTGGAGGAACCAGAGATTCGGTCCACGGCAGCGTGATGCAGCGTGAGGCAGCGTGTGTGTGTGTGTGTGTGTGTGAGTGGGGTCTCATGCAAACTCTAAACTACTTGTGGAGGAAAAAAAATAATCAAATTTGTGGCTTCAGTGGTGCTTGAAAACAGCACCCTGAAACTCTGCTGTTCTCATGCTCCGTCACCTGGAACAGCAATAAACCAGTCAGCACAATGAAGCCAGGACCTACACATACACAC